GAGATCAAACTGGAGCTTTAGGATGCAAACTAAAAAGGAGGAGAAGATGTGGGGCCCTAACCCTGCTGCTTGGCAGGATGTTTGGCACGTCTGGAGCCTCATTATGGGGGCTACGGGGCAAAGATATGTTCAGTCTTAAAACAAACACGTTATGAGAGCTAATGACCACCAGTTGACGGATTCTGTGGGCTCATGACTGATTTATGATATAAGATTACATCCACACAGCAGCCCCCAGTGAACTGTGCACAGTGCACAACTGCATTTTGAGCCCTTCTCATGATTTACAAAATTAGCACCTTTCAGTAGACCTTCAGTAATAGTTTACATGATTATCTGAGTTAATGATCTTTTCTAGAAAATAAATTCTGACTCTAGTCATCCCAACTTTAGTATACTGCCTGTTTAGTAGGTGACATTTAATTTATACACAAAACTATGACAGACTCGGAAGTGAGGCTTCATGGTTATCATATCAAGCTTGTCTAAGCAGTTGTTCAGAAAATTTGCAAAGGGCGTGTTGTGTCTGATGAGAATAGAGGCATGATTTTGAAGAATTATACAACTCTGGAAAGTTACCAACGTGACCGTCTCAGTGTCACTTCGTGTTATGATAAAAGTCGAGATAAGTTGGACTAATGCCAACCTAAATCCTCCGCACTGTTTTGAATGTACAGAATGGAGCTGAGGGTGGAGTAACCCTGCATGCCAACGCACCCAAAGGGACGGACGGGCAGTAAATCAAGAAAGTGAGGCGTGTGAGTGGTCCCAGCCATACCTGTTGGTAGTTGTCCCTGCAGCCCAGGAAACAATGCAGCTGTCTGGGTGATGGAAGGACCTGTTCAGCCCCTCTTGGCCCCAAATCCAGCAGCCCGATGTGTCTGCTTGGTACTGTGTACTGTTTTTTTTTTGTGTTACCATGGACTGAACTTTACTATAACATATATTAGATTCGTAATCTGTAACTTTTTCATAGAATAGAATGACTTTTACATCTGCCATTGTAAATGTCTCTCAGGAAAGGCACACGTGATCATGAGCTACCCCAGCGCTGAACTGAAGCTTTATCAAATCTAGCAAAATACATCCCAACACGAGTGCTATGCAAATGAATGAGCACTTATGTGAAAAAGAAATTAATTGATTCAACACATCTAAAAGAAGCCACTGTGCTAGCCTGACTTCAAGCACAACCTTGGTGTCTTTGTCATATTCTAGTCTCCTTGTCCCGTGCCTTCCCCACCCTCTCCACCAAAGATGTGCCAGGCAGCACAAGCAGGGGGCACCTCTCACACAAAGCCCAAACTTCTGGCTCCACTTGTGAAACAAAGCTCAAACTCCTTTTCCCAGCTCTCACTCCCTCTCACTCATTTACTGGGTGCCTCTTTTGGCTTTGTAACACACAAGTTGACTTGGAATTGGCCGTCTGTCTCACACACAAAAGCAAGGGAGGGTCACTGGCTGAGATCCAGCGGCATGGATCTTGATAGAAACACAGAGCCCTTGGCCTTCTGAGCTCAAAGACCAGAAAAGACAAGGAGCGGGGGGCAACAGACAGATTTTTACAACTCACTTTGGCTTCACAGACAACTTTTACTTTTTGCTGTGTGCAGACTGTATATAAGAAGTGGACGTAGTCATCATGACGTCACCCGTTGGTTTGTGGACTGCCGTTTTAAAGCCTCGAGTTTGGCTGATAGGGCGCCGCCATGTTGAGTTTCTGCAACCAGCGGCACCAGACGTGACCATATTTGGACGAGACGGTGGAGCAAATGGCCGTGTGTGGAGCTAGCTAGCTTGCTTAGCTAGGTGAATCTGTAATTCATGTTAACAGGGCAGACAACTTTGTCTAGCAAACAACAGGCTTAAAATTAAATGTATTCACCAGAGAAAGTGAGCAGCCCTTAAATTTACTAAATGAACATCATGTTGTATTGAAGAAGACTTGAAACTAGCGATTGTGACCATAAACTCATCAGGAAAGGGTTTACTGAGGTAATAAATCAGCTGAGAAGTAGGGTCATTTTACCATTATTTCTAATGGAACTGGACTTATTTTTGCAACCGGAAGAGTCGCCTCCTGCTGGCCGTTCAATAGAATGCAGGTTTATAGGACTTCCGCATTGGATTCACGTCTCAGACCGGAAGCTTCCCGCTTGAGTGGAACATTTTGATTTTGAGACTTAATTAAGCTGTCCAGCATCCAGAGATTTGTAAATAATCTCCGGGTGTTCGTTCATTTAACTGCCATGAAAATTTGCCATATATTTTGTAATGACAAGCATGTTTTGAAGAAAAGCTTTAAAAATTAGGTATTTTTATGGCTAGTGTGTCATTTCACTTTTCTAGACAGTCTTATTTATTTTCTTTAATGTATCAACTGTATCTGTAGCATGACCGATTTCAGCCAATGTTATTTTGACATTGCATCAGTTACCCATGTAGACTGAGTTTTCAAAGGGAAAACCATCATTGCTGGGTAATACTTGTTCTCAAACAAATTCCACACCAGTCAAATGTTTCACAGCTCAGAGCTGCCCTCAGGGAAACTCTCCCCTCCCAGTCATGGGTAATGGGTAAGTAAGAACAAGATGGCACAACGTCATGATGATTACTTCATTCAGAATAACAAAAGGCTCAATCAGGGTTAAGTAGCAGTAATGTCTGTCTTTGTAATTGGCATCACCTAAAAACAACACTCTGCGTTCTGTCATAGCCTACAGGCACAGAGTCCTGTTACACCTTGTTTTCACAGCTCTGGCTAGAGCGTTAGGACCCCTAGGGTACATCTCAAACGGGAAGGCGTTTAAAAAATGCAAACTTTGAATCCATGAATCCATAGGATTTTATCATTGCTGTGATTACAATAACAAACACTTTTTAGATTTTGGCAAATTCTATCTATTGAAACTAGGCATGGGCCACTAGGGGATTTTGGCGGTATAATAACCAAAAATGTCACGGTTTCATGGTTTCACGGTTTATATCACAGCTCTAAAATGTATTATTATTAAATGCCTGGTTAAAAATTAATTTTTTCCCCCATTGAAGACAATATGTTTTATTTTAAAGGAACAACATATACTATTGCTACTAAGGATAATATCAAATAATGCTATAAAATCAATTATTGTTTCTTTCACACACACACACACAGGCAAAAAGTAGAAAAAAATGCCAGAGAGCCAGCAATTTTTTTTGTTTGCCGGTGACACAGTGGCACAGGTCTCTCACAGAAGCGTTCAACACACTATCTGTTGCAGTATTTCAAACAACACATTCTGTGTAGAAGCAAGATGTCAGCGTTACCAGAAGAACGCCATAGACTAAACTTGACTGCATGCTCTGTTATGCAGCTCCTTAATGCCAAAAAAGAATTGTAATAAATTGTAAACTCATACTTTATCTCTGTTAATCTGTGTACAATCCCTGAAAGAAAGAAGTCAAGTATTTAGAACAACATGAAACAAAGCTTAAACATCCCCTAAACAGTTTGATTCTGGTAGCAAAATATTTACTCATATGTAGATTTTTAAGATCTCCTGTCTTTGAAGCATTTCAAAACGAACTGGCCAGCATTTTAAAATCCTCGAGACTTTCATTGCTTTACTTCTTAATTTCAGTTATTTACTTTTTTCAGTATTCGTGGTAGTCATGTTCTTTGTTGAGATGTCATCCGAGCTGGCAGAAGAATATCAGGAGAACTCGTGTCTTTAGAGCAATAATGCTTTGTATTAACTCAGGTGAATAAGAATCTCATATCTCTTTAAACCCATGTTCTTGAGCAGTTAATCACCTTGACAAACCTTTCAGAGTTAAGAAAGGTTAGAACCATTGTGCTATACAAATTATCCGATATGTTAAAAATGTTTGGATTGCAGTATCTATTATGTATTATTATGTGTGAGAAAAGGACTGTTGAGAATAAGTTGTATTTTAATGGCCTAATGTTATGTTTTATGGATGTCTGTTTGAACTTTGAACTAAACAAAGTGAGAAAACAAAATGGAACAAACCTTCAAACTCGTTCATCTTGAGTGAAAAGGCCTGCACGTGCAGTAGCTGCCTGGTCTTAAAAAACTGGGAGTCCTCAGTATGTTTGCTTATGGCATATTGGCAGCACATTGGTATGAATAGACACCAATTGCCCCTTTAATCGGAGAGGACCACTGGGACTGAGTGACAGAGATAATGATCTGCTCTCACTGAGCTGTGACCTTTAACCTTGGTGGTCTTTGCTCTGAGGTCATCCCAGGTTTACTGGACCGTACAGCCAAAGAATCCTTATAGCAACCAGGGATTAACCCAAGGGAGCTGCGTAGCTCTGTGCTCTCTTTTTGTGTCCCTCCACAGTGCGCACACATACAAACCACACATACACAAACACAACTGAATGTGCTCTCAGGATTCTTGCAAAGTCATTCTTGGTGTCTGTTTTCGGTTTATTTTGCTGCATCAAACATGCAAGATTTTACCAAATCAAACTGGAGAGAATTAGTAGGTTTTTGTCCATAATGAGAGCTCTTCTCCTTCAATCAAGACAATAATGTCTCCTACTCAGCGGTTGTAATGGCAGTAATTAATGAAGATCGGCTGTGTTGTCCTAATGAGACTTCCCTCAAGCCATCAGACCATTTATGGCAGGAAATGGTGGATACGTGCATTCTTCGTCTGACACATAAAAACACATCCATTGTTGCGTAAACCCTGCTTTGGTCTCATTGGATAGAGAGAGCCATTAATGAACAGTTCCTGGGGCAAAAGCCACAGACAGTGTAGAAGGTTTCAATTACTGGTGGATTACTGGAACTGTAAAATGGTACAGTTGCGTCTCATGCTGTGTTGCAGGAACAGTAATTCATTCTTAATAATTGTTTGTCTTGTTATTTTAGTATTCTTCTTATTTGGCCAGCTGAAATGTGTCACCATTCATTTTTTTTGTTTCACTGCATTGTGTTGTTTTTTATTTAGGACCTTTTCTCTCTTCTTTGCACTCACAGGTGCCCACCACCTCTTCCCCACGTTTCACACCCCTATCCCAATTGACATGCGACACCACGAGGGGCGATACCATTATGAGCCACACCCACTCCACGGCATGCATGGGTAAGTATCATAAAAAATCATAGTGGCATTCACAGTTCTTCTTCCCTAACAAACAGTGGCCCATCGGGCCGCTGGGCCAGTCATTACCGAATCCTGCTGTGCAACAAAACTGTTTTTTTTTTTCTAGAAAACAAAGTCTCCAAAGATATCAAATATGTCAGCTGACTTTTGGGGAAATGTGCACAAATTGATGCACAAGAGAATATTTGATGGAATAGAATCCTTGGTTTGAATACTACAAAATCAAACAGCTTCAATGCAGAGTAGAAACAAACTAAGACAAACTTAGAGAGACAATTAGGAGAGGTACATAGATACATTTAAGTAAAATTGGCAGCACTAAGTCTGATAGAATCCTTATGAAATGTTATTATTGGCTATTAAAGCAGAAATGTGTCAAATGTATTTCACACATCTATTTATTTAATATCTAAAAAACATTCCATTTTAAAAACATAAACTCACAGTATTTTAGTTAGGATAAATAGGTTGGCATTCCAGCAGTGTGCTTAGTGATGAAACTCATATTCTAACCCGACCTACAAAGAAACACTAGTTTATTTTCTGACTTTATTAATGTGGCATTACCATAAAAGTGTGGCCTTCCTAACATTGCCAGGCCTTATCTAATATATTCGAATCCAGGAAGGGAACCCAGGAGTAAGATCAATAGAGGTTTTGTGAGAACTGTGCTGTTACATTTAAATTCAGCAAGATCAGGTGATACACAGTGTAGACAGAGCTATTCATCACCTGCAAAGCGAGGGAAAGGAGGGGGAAAAAGTGTGGCTGCGAGCCCGGTTTGTTTTGATTAATGTGATGTGACTCTGACAGAGTGCTCCCACTAATTCATCAAGACCTTGATATAGTTGTCTTTTCTCCAGCATGCGCCAAATTCACCTAATTACCGCGTGTCGTCCTGGCGAAATGGAGCAGGGTGTCTGCGCAGGGCGCTTGGTGGCAGCACTTCGTCAGTGGAGGGTTGCTGTGTGTCAGGATTGTACTTCCTGCCTGAAAGATTGTACTAACTCCATATGGAGCACCCTTCATTGCTGTTTGTGTGTAATATAATTAGGGCTGCAGGTGACTCTGTCACAGCTGTCAAAAAGCAGAGCCCGCGGTACTCACTGCTTTGTGAACCGCCTTGCTCCCTGGCTGACAATGCAAAGGAATAGACTGGGGTATTCTGTGACTCAGTAGGCCAGTGCAAATACCAGTCATACAGGAGAAAGAGTGCATAGCTTTGAGTAATTTTCTGAATATCTTTTATGTTTCTTATCGATATATGCTGTTTAGTAAAGCTACAATAGAAACAGTTTTATTTGTTTGGCATCAGTGGTTTATTTCTTTGCATATATTAGCAACTGTTAGCCAATGATTTGTAGCATTTCCAGGCTCATGATGCATGCTTACAATGAAGTTATGCATTTGACATTTACATTTATTACATTTGTATTTATTCATTTAGCTGACACTTTTTATCAAAAGCAACTCGCAGTTGCTGTATGTCAGAGGTCGCACGCCTCTGTAGCAACTAGGGGTTAAGTGTCTTGCTCAGGGACACATTGGTGGATTTGTCACAGTGGGGAGTTGAACCTGGATCTCTCTCAAAGGCATGTGTCTTATCCACTGTGCATCACCACCCCTAAACCAAAAGTGCTTATAGCATTTCCAAATACTCAAACTGAAAGATATATTTGAAGGTTTTTTGAATTGCCTCTACTCAGAAACTGTGACACACGCGGGTGTCTGGATAAAATTTACACACCTTACCCAAGATAGCAGTGCCAGGACACAAAGCACATTTCTAAATGTTAAAATTAGTCACCCTTCCGTTGCGGTCTCCCTGCCTTTCACGAACTTAGCATTCCAGAGAGAAGAAACATGGCATAACAGAACTGTCTCTGGAACACATTAGGAAGAGCCTGTCGTGGGATGACAGTGGAGATACAGCTCTTATGTGCTGTTTGCTACATATTGTGGAGTCGAGCATTTTCTGTGCAAACCCACAAGCCAGGAAAGCCAGCCACCATGCCAGCATGTTTGACCGGGTAATTAGCTTCCGAAATCCAGCCTTCCGCTCCCAGAACCTCAACGACAACGCAACGGATGAGAAAAACAGATCCCCCGCTCATTCCACGGCACGTATTTATGCTTTTTGGGAAGCAGTCATAGGCCAAATTACAGCACTGAAAAGTTGAAATATGCCCAAGGTTTTTGTGTGGCAGAGCTGTGGCCTACACCGCCGCTGTACACAAACAGATGTGGTCCCACTCACCAGGCAATCAGCATGTTCAAGGCCCGCAGCCCCACAGCACGGAATGTGTTGATTAAATACAGTTTACTGATCAGCCATTTGGGTTGATGTTGTTTTTTCCCTTCGTTGTTTTGTTTTTGTTAACATGGAGAGGGGAGGGTGGGAGTAAGTGGTGGTGCGGAGGGGGGTTGAGTCTGACGATTGGTTGTCAGTGGTTTTGACAGACGTGTTGTTATCTTATGTTGGTGCCTGCTGGCTCCAGCCCCAGCTCATTGTCACATCTAATGTTTGAATTTGGATGCTCCCCTGAGTTACAGCCAGGAATGTTCTGCTGAAAAGACAAGGGACCTATCAATCAAAAGACTGCGGAGTTGCAAATCAATAGCCTGAAATTTTCACAGTTTATAGCACGGTCTCACCGTAATTGTCTTGCACTCAAAAAAGACTAAATGGTATGTGACAGCAACGGAGATGAATAATGGATAATTACCCTCTGTATAATCCCATCTCATTTAAGTATATTATCCCATCATCTGACAGAGTTCTGCTGGGCCCCTCCTTTGTACACAGCCCTAGCTTCTCAGGGAGTACAGTATCATGTTGTGTCCAAATCCACTACATCCTGATCAGGGCCCCAAAAACAACTAAAGCAGGATCTTAGCATGTCCCATGTGGGGCAGTGTGGTGATTTATCTTGATCGCCTTGCCTGCCCAGAAGTACAGAAGGGAGGGTGTCACATCATAATTCATCCCACCCTGAGCCAGTAGGGAAAATGCCAGAGAGGCAAATTCTAACTTGTTGGTCAGCCAGGAGGGCAGGGAGGCAGGCAGACAGACAGAAAGGGGACTTCAAGTTGGAGTGTGGCTTTAACACCTCACCTTGAAAACAGGTTACATGGGCAGCATCTTCTGGCAGAGGACATTGATACTTGCAGAAAGACCTATTCAAACTTTTTGAATTCACACCACAGTTAAACTAGATTGGTTGAGTTTACATATGCAATGTGAGGGCAAGGAAAGTCAGATGCTGCGTGATGATCCGACAAACACTCTGTTAAACACACTGTTTAAACGCTGAAACTGCGAAATCACCAGAGCAACACTGTAAGCTGAAACTAGCTTATAGAAATGCTCTGACACTTAGCAAGGTCACCTTCCTCTAAAACTATTATTATTCTTACCATTTGGTTCTGTTTGATTTTAGATCGGTACAGCGTTGGCTAGAACCTAACAAGAAACCTTTTTCTTTAACTCACTACTAATCCTGCTCCAGTCTGCTCCACCAATAATCTAATGTACTTGCGCTGGTATGCACTTACTCATAGGGTTACTCATATGCTCAACAAGCTGTACCATGTCCAAATCACTTTTTCTCACAACAGAGTTTTAACAATGGAACAACGGAGAGCATGTAATCACACAGTACAGAACACAGAGACAAATAGCAATTACCTCTTTGAAACCATGTCATCTTCTGACTCACATTGGCTTCCTATCCCTCTATCTATCCATATTTCTCCATAAGTATCATCCGTACATGGACAAAGTCCTGGCACTTGTATTTGGAAGTAATGAATAATTCTGACTTTCAACTGCATGCAAGGACTGTTACCATTTCTTAGATTGTTTCCAGCCAGGCAACCACCCATAGTGTTCCAGTATGATGGAAGTTTCTTTAAATGGCAGCCACTGATTAAGAGACGGGGCTCTCCCAGGGCTCTGAGGCCCTCCAAGAGCTTCCTGTTCAGTCTCTGCGACTGAAGCCTCTGGAAAACACGCAGACTTCGTGTAACATCTTGTCAGAAAAAGGGTGGATCGACAAGGCTTCAATAATGGTACCTGCCAGACAAGAGTATTATTTTCAGCCTCCTGACAGGCAACAGCAGTAAATTTGACCTTATTATCAAGGCCCCATATATACTCGTTTGAGTGATTTACTGCAGCTAGAGTGATGTGGTTTGCTATCTGCCAAGAAACAACTAACTATTGTTGATGGATATAAGTTTAAAGTAAAATGGTTGGTGGAGCACGGGGAAGGGGGATATTGATTATAATAGAAATTAAATTGATTTTTTTACCCTCAACGAACATCTATAAAGCACGCTGAGGATGTTTATAATGCAATGTAAGGCAGCTCATATTGTCTTATGAACAAAAATAATGACACTAATTTATAATAATAATTAATTATTTAGCTGACACTTTTATCCAAAGCAACTTACTAATTATGTCAGAGGCCACACGCCTCTGGAGCAGCTATGGGTTAAGTGTTTTGCTCAGGGACAAATTTGTGGATGTGTTACAGTGGGAATTAAACACCACACCAGGGCCATGTGTCTTATCCACTGCCCCATCACCACCCAATTTGGAAGCTGTTTTTTTCATTTGCCTCAAAGGATGAGGCTGGTGATGTTCAATGTTTTTCTTATTTTCAACAAATACCATGAGACTATTCTAACAGGTGTTGCCTATGTAGCCAAGGCCTGATTCCTCTGTGCCACAGAGTTTGAATTGCTGTCCAAAAAACTAACACATCAATGAGCAACACTGTTGCACTGGGTTACATGTTCCTTCATTATCAAACACACACTGTTAATTTTGAAATATATGCGACCAGTTGTTAAAGAATTATACTTTCAGTAGGGACCAAAGGACTTGGAGCACATATGATGTGGAGTAATGGACAAACACATGTGGTCTGGATCTTTAAGAGAGAAAATGAAAATGAGAAAATTATACAATAATGCAAGTCTTATCCCTTAAAAATGCAGCATTTTTATTTTTATTAGAACCATTCTCTATTTTCATGAAACTTAAAAGATATCTGGTACTCATTGTGATCCATTATTAAATCATCATCAGTCCATGATGGAGGTAAAGATGAAACATGCTACAAAGGTTCCTGTATTACATTAGACAGGTGTTTCTAATATTCTGTCCATTCAAGAAACATATCAGTATATTGCATTATACCTTTATGCTTTAGCTAAATTCTAGAAATCCAAGTCTGCGATTAATTTGAGTCACCCACTCTGATAAGAGAGAGAGCCAGCACCAGTGCCAGCTTACCCAGGTAGTCCTGCACTAATCTGAAAAGGCACTGCCAACCTCTCTGTATGCTGCTTCGAGGCGGACCGAGGGAAGCGTGTTTTTGTGTATGGAGCGTCTGTTTCTTCTCCCTTCTCCCCTCCCGCTCAGAACAGAGGGCTCTTTATGGTTGTTTGTAGGGTAAGAGTGGGCCTGACAGCAGAAATTTGGCCCTCGGACAAGGCCAGTAGTCTGCAAGCGCTTACTGGAAATGGAGCGAGGGCTGAGGCTCTGGGTTGGTTGGCTCGGCCTGAGCTGGGCAGGGCTGGGCCGGGTGCAGGTTGGCGTCGGCACAGAGACAGTGAATGAGAGACTGATCAGGGTAACTGAAGGGAGGATTGGGGGTTCTGCCAAGCATGCTTGCTAGGTCCCAGGCCCACCTTTCATAGCCACAGCCTTTAACTAAAACCTGGACCAGTCAAACTCATTTCATCTGAGTTGCATGATTTGACAGCCCTGTTTGAGATGTACACCGAAACTTTATCTTCATTTAAATCTTTAAGCTTCTTCGGAATGATGATAATCTTTACTATTTACTGACCTTAAGGAATCTATTATCAGCATTAGATGGTTTTGCACTCAGTCCAGATACAAAACTTTGGATGCAACGTAGTCCCTCAGTAGGTCATAGACTAATCTCCACATTTAATTGAAGAACATTGATGAATCATGTTACCAGTTCGTGTGAGCCGGGCATCCTTCTACATGAACCATTCCCTACCCCCTTTTCTTACACATACACACACGCTGTGTACCCAGCATGCAGTTGATACTGCCAAGAATCAAAACCACACATATAAACACTCGTGTGTTCACAGCAGCCATCGAGCTGCTAAAGTGTCAGCTTCAACAGCATTTGTTCTGAGGCTCTCATAAAGACAGCTATTCTATTATTTTTATGACATTGTATTGTTGTATAAAAGTGTCACTGTGGTCATATTTTCTAACAAAAGAATCGCCCCAGATTCTGAGACAGATTGAAGTGAAGCAAGTAATGTGTGCTCTTTGGGAGATTCCAACAGGGCTAGCATAAAGTCACTTAATGTTTGCAATTTAAAATGTAAAGTAAGGCTGAAAAATAGACAAAGAATCGAATATTTTGAAAATAAAAAGTTGAACTGACCGTGAAGTGACCTCAGACCTAAATTCCATTTTGAAAGGAGGCTCCAAAACATTTTTGTTAACCAGGCTCATTGTGTAAGGCCCTCCTCTAATCCACTGACAGTATTACAGTGAGTCATTAGTCTGGTCATTTCTGCTAAAGGGAGGACCCTTTTTCCTTCATAGGTTCCCTTTAGGGTCATTACCCTCAGCCCACATGTTCTTTTTCTTGTCTTCTTTAGAGAGATTGAATGATGATTTATAGTTACTTCCATGAGAATGAAATACTTGTTTTATGTCTCATTGCCACATAGAGAAATCTACTTTCATCAAGACAATGGGTTATGGGGTCCTAGTCTTCTAATGTGCATTTAACTTAATTGAAATCCATTGTTTTATGTTATTTTGAAATGTAATTTGTAGCCAGTTAGCTAATATTTCCATAAATATTAAACCCAGCCAGCTTATCTATATATATATAAAGTTTCTGAACCATTCCTTACTTGTGTTGTCTTCCAGGTATGTTTTTTTTTTGTCTTGGACGAAATTTACTTTTAAGCCAGTACAGTACTGTAACATACCTCTCTGTCAAACCAGACCACAGTTTCAACTAAAAGTCAACTTAAATTTGAATCCCTGCCCCCTACAGTGTTGATTGACAATTTATTAGTTACTGTTAAAACAGCAATATAACCACACTTTGTCATTGAGCTTTTCTCTATTAGTCATCATTCATCTTGCTTGAGTGTCTTTGTGTGGGCTGAATTTCTACCAGGTGTTCTCACCACACACTGAGGAAAACTGAAGCACACTGGGTTAACATAAGTAGTAGGGCCCCTTCAAAGGATTGTGCCACTGCCAGCGGCCAGCAGACATTTTTATCTAGAGTTCAGCTCCTCAGGGCTATCAGGAATTACAACGCCCGCTTGTCTGTGTTTCTGCAAGCATTACCTGCCAGAGATGACGTATTTACTGTATAGCTGGATGTGACCGGCAGGCTGTCGGACATGGTGGCTGTAGGCAGCTACTGAAGGTTTTGAGCATCCGATTGCACCATGCAATACATGATGTGAGAGACCCTGTAGCTTTGCCCACCCAAAAAGACCAAAAATACGTTTCCTGGTAGCCTTGCAGTCGAAAGCCCTTGGTCTTGACTTGTCTGTAGCTCTAGGCTTACAGTAATAGAAGAAGGTGAACAAAAGGGGATTATTATGTATTAGCTGTGGGACTGGGGAGGGGAAAGGGCGTAAATGGATTGAGACTGACACTTTTGTGGAATAACAGAAGTTAAGGCTTGTCTATGAACATACCAACGAAGATCACTCACAATGATTACTGAGCACAGTACAAGTAATCAAATTATACACGCTGTCTCCACTCCCTCCATCTCCCACTATCTTTTTTTAGTCTTTCTATTTATCTCTGAACCTCATCCTCCCCACACCCTTTCTTTTTCCTTCTTTCACTGTCCCCTGTTGCTCTGCCTTCCTCTTTGTGTCATTTATTTACATTTTTCTCATTTTTACTCCTCCATCACAGACCTCCAGGACTGACGGGCAGTCCAGTCATCTCAGATATTTCCCTGATCCGTCTATCACCCCACACGGCGCCTGGGACGGGTGAGTCACCGTTCAGCCCTCCACATCCTTACGTCAGCCCCCACATGGAGCACTACCTACGCTCGGTACACGGCAGCCCCACCCTCTCCATGATCTCAGCGGCCCGAGGACTGAGCCCTGCAGAAGGTAAGATTTACCCCACATACTGGCATTGTAGCACCACCATGAACTATAACATCTATTTATCTACAAATTGGTGCTGTTAGTACCAACAGAAAAAACAAACAAGATGTAGGAGACTATTCACGCAGAGGAGAAGCAAAACAAAGACAGCCCAGTAGACCCCATCCCACAGTGGTCATTTGAACTTATATTAAGGAGCCCCAAAATACACATAAAAAACATGTTGTGAAGTGGAGCATTTATTATTTTATGCATTCATTAAAGGAAGGAATCTCTGTCCTTCTTTTTTCTGCATGTGTGCCTGTATCTGATTTTCTCGACTATTAGTCGACTTCACACTTGGCGGGTATATTGCTGAGGACCTAAGGGAGTGCAGTGTTGGCTTTGGTACAATTTGGCCAGGTGGTCATGCTACAGCTACAAACGTTACATTTGGCCTGTGAATTTTGAACTGTAAGTCTCATATGGAGATTAGTCTGGAATCCACAGAATCCAGGAAAAAGTTTTGCTCCTAAGCCAAGCTGATTTTCGTCTAGATTGTTTTAGAATTTTGTCCAAATTATTTTTTTCTGTTAGTCCTCCTGCACATCTTGAGCAATTTTCACCAAATTTGATATTCCATACAGTTATGCTGTAGCTGGCTCTCATAGTGTGATAAAATGCTGTGGGCAGGGCTTGTATTACAAAAAATGTCATATGTCCTGAAGGCATTACGCTATTAATGGACATGCAGATATGATGTCTGAAAACCCAGGACAAATTCAGTGCCATTTGGCCAACAGGTGGCACTGTAGGATCATAACCTAACAATAAAGGAACTAATCTGTCCTTCGCATATCTCAAAAAACGTACCTCCCATCAACGAATCTATAGCTGAGGACCCAACGGAGTGCACTGTGAAGTCGATCGGATGATGGTTCTCGATAATGTAGCACTTCCAGTGGCCAAGCAATCTGCCTGCTCCGAAAACTAAAAGTGTTGCGCACCCATCACTGACTCCATGTGTGACAATCTTAACAAATTTTTCTCACTCCAGTACCAATTCAGTACACAGCTTTAGCACATGCAGTATAGTATATTCGCCTCTGGTGATAACACTGGGATTTGGCTGAATATCTAATTCAGCCTGTCAAAGTAGAGGGCAGTTGGTTTTGGTTTTGTTAACAACACTAGTCTACAAGCACATTTTCGCTGTAGGTTGAACACATACAAGTATATACAAACACTTAGGCAAGTATATTAACAGTACATAACTATGGTACGCACTGGAACGAAGTGTGTGAAATACATGTAGATACTTATCACATTCTGTCTTTTACTTGTGCTCGTATAGATGCTCAGTGTGTCAGTAACGTTAAATGCCCAGGCACACATGGTCATCCATAAACACTCACACACATTTTACATATGCAAGACGGAAGCCCTCAGTCTTAGTCTTATTATGATGCATGCAATGTACACAATCTAAAGAATAACACGATGTAAGAAATGTTTCAAAGGTGGCTATTCAGCTACTTTGACCAGTTAATATTACAGAGGTAAGTTTTGGGTTGAGCGGGGTTTAGAAATTATACAGCATGTTCGCTATAAACCAACTCCGTCTACTTGGCTGCAGCTCTTTGCATACACACTTGAGTTTACACAGTTGATTATTTACCCAATGGTGATAATTAGTCTTGCACCGTATACATTCCTCTACATAAGGTACTGAAGTACACCTTTCATCATGCTTGTTAAGGTGTTTTTGCATGTGTGTGCATGTAGGTGATTTGTGGATGTATCAGGTGTATGCTTTGCGGTACGGGCAACTTTCCTGCTCGTTTGTACGTATGTTTGGGCTGGAGGAACCATTGAAATCAGCACAGACAGAAACACGCAGTGCCCCTGAACTACTGAGTTCACATGATGACAGTCTGTCCTCGCTGCCACTGTTCAAACAACAGGTTGAAGAAGTGAGGAGCCACAGGCCTGCACCGGCACCAATAAATCACCAAGCACACGCTGCTGGCAAGAAATGCCTCCCCGCCTTTCAAGAGAAGCAATGCGGAAGAGATGCTGTCACTGATAAAGTGGCAGGGAAGTATGGCACCAAATGGAGTGCACTGTGCAGCTCCATTCCACATAAATGAAGTCTGTGGAAACACAGAGCTCAGTGGAGCATGTGTAAACCTCTGATAGAGATACCTTCATACCAGACATGGAGATTTATTTGTGAACTGATTAAGATATACTATATAAATTACCATGATGCCATACTCATTAAATTAATTTAATTTAATCAGAATTGCGACATCTGGCATGTAGCTGTGCACATGTAGCACACCTTTACCTACAGCATCTCTGGAGTCCAAACTAGAATGTCATGATATTGTTGTAAAGGGAAGGAGCATGTTGTAATGCCTTTGTAGTACACTGAATATCTGACTATTTGCTATACAGCAGTAACACCTACTTTTTAGCTGTGCTAGTGTTGTGCTAAGGCGGTGAACATGATGAACATTAACCTGCTAAAGTTCAACATGTTATCATTGTCATTGACATGGGCATATGGCTCAAAACATCACTGCACCTATAAGCACAGCTGTAGACTCTTAAGCTGTCTCAGAAATCACCCCCTATTTACGACATGGTGCACTACATTTACCCTCTGCCATTTTGAGAAATGTATGTCCTATATAGTGCCCTTAAAAAAAACACAATCAAAAGAAGTAAGTAGTGTCCATACCGTGTAGGCTACAATACTTTCTGCAAACAAAATTCACACAATTCAATGCATCACATTTTGTAGAAAATTACATTACGAAACTGTACTGGCTGATATTGTTTCGGGAATCCTCTGTGTCATTGGATTTCTGTGGGATTCCTGCATTATGGGAGTCTATTTCACTTGTCATCATGGGACTGACACGGCAAAGGAATTTAAGTCAATGGGAGTGGGCGGGAAGGGAATCATACATCTACTTTTTATATAGAAATATGCATTTCTAATAATAACATAATAAACACTGTTTTATTTTTTTTTATGGGGAACAGGATGGGACAGGGGGTCATTCTTCTGCGATTGGTATGAGACCTAAATAAACAATAAAGTAAAAATCCACTCCTGTGCCACCCTCTACATCATACCTGTCGCATTCATTAGTGTCCAAAATCTCAATTTACTTCTTCTAATAGAGTAAACTTTTGTGGAGTGTTTATTGGGACGAATGAGTGAAATCAGACAGAGTTAGTATTGTTTAATTACAATCTACACAACTAGTTTTTGTCAGGTTTTACCGGAACCAGTGGAGTCTTTCATCCCTCTGTGTTCAACAGTGAGGTCACACACTCAAACACAAAATGCTACTCTGCTGAGGCGGTAACATGATCTGGCAGCCATGGAGAAACCAAAGGAATATGCCCGGGTCGCTGCTGCTGGAGCACAAACACACTGCCTGTGTACTGTTACTACAGCCATGGCCTAATAGGTTCTGATGGATCCAGATTTTATGGTTTATGTGTGTGCTTATGTGTCTGCGTGCATAGATGGTGGAAGAGGCTGTGGTCTTGCTCCCCCAATATCCCACTTGGCCCCTACCCAGTGATCCCATCCCCCCACTTCCCCCGTGTTTCTACCAGCATGCATATTAATCCACCACCGGCCCACACCCCTGTCCCTCTGCACACTCTACCCACTGGGGGAGGGAGGAAGACAGAGAGCAGGAAATGTAGGAAAGAGGAAAACCAATCCATCTGTCACTCTTATAGTTCCTGACACTTTTAAATGTGGCTTTACTTGGTGCAGGTGCACATTTCACATCAATATTACCTTTGCACATGCAGTAGTTAAGGCTTCCTCAGCATTATGAGCGTGAGTGTGAGTGTGTGTGTGTGTGTGCACCTGCACTCTGTGTATGATTTCAGCCTGTCAAACTTAATGCATACACAACACCACAGAAGTGCAGGAATGTGGTATCCCCCCTATCCATCTCTCCCTCTGCTTCCTTTATTCCCTTGAGATATTTTCCCATAACAAAGCAGGCCTCAAAGACATCACACATCTTTTATCAAAACCCTCATGCCCCGGGGCATGCACATACACACAGATCTTCAAACCTGTAAAGCAGGGCACTCGTCTCCTCTGTTGAGTGCTTCTTGCCACCTTTCTGTTCTTGTTTTTTTCATTGTGTCAAGGGATATGCCAAATGATGTTGATGTCATGAAAATATTACCTTATTAGAGAAATACAAAATCAAAAATGGATTTTGTTCAGCTCCTCTGACTTGTCAATTCATGTTTAGCATCACTGCACAGGTTATGACCTCTGTGCTGAAGCACCAGCAGGAATTGCAGCAGTCTTGACAGAACTTACCTCCTGGTTGCTTAATTCTGCAGTGTTGTATTATATTAGTGTTGTATATTGTTGTATTATAGTGATATTGTTCAAGCACAAAAAGGATTTTTTGTTCCTCCCATTTCTGCTGCAGTGACCCACGAACACCTGAAGGATCGTGCCCTGTTCAGTCTCCCCCCTCCACCACCAGGGGCAAACCCGACAGAATACTACCACCTGATGACCAGTGCCAGCCAGCGAAGCCCCTACACTGACCTGCTGATGCAGAGCAGTGCAGCGGCGGCCGCAGCAGCAGCGGCTGCAGCTCATCTACCAGATTACATCAGCCCCGTGGATGGTGAGGATAAAACATCTTGCTGTGTTGCCTTTTGACACAAATACAACTTGATGTTTAAATGTACCAACTAATGAATTTACCCTTTGGTGTAACTGCACATGTGCTGGTAAAGGTTGCTATTTGTTATATGAGAATTCCGCTATACACTCACTGGCCACTTTCTTAGGTACACCTTGCTAGTAACGGGTTGGACCCCCTTTTTCCTTCAGAGTTGCCTTAATTATTTGTGCATAACTTCAACAAGGAGTGGGAAACATTCCTCAGAGACCTTGGTCCATATTGACATGATAGCATCACGCAGTTGCTGCAGATTTGTCAGCTGCACATCCATGATGCAAGTCTCCCGTTCCACCACATCACCACCAAAGGTGCTCTGTTGGATTAAGATCTGGTGACTGTGGAGGCCGTTGGACTGCAGTAAACTATTGCCTAATTTTGGTGAGCCTGTGTGAATTGTAGCATCAGTTTCCTGTTCTTAGCTGACAGGAGAGGCACCCGGTGTGGTCTTCTGCTGCTGTAGCCCATCTGCTAGCCAATCAGACCATTCTCTGTAAAACCTAGAAATCCACTTAGGTTTACAGTTAGCATAATCATTTCACTACAAGACTTAACACTGTTGGATTGTAAAAACCCCAACCCACTCACAAGTGTACATTGGTGTTTGTGAGTGGTGCTTCTTTTTCTAATAAATGATCTTTGGATAACAGGCACTGGCTTGCATATAAGCCAAGTTTTATTTCTTTACTTTTATTACTTGTGGCATTAACTTTAATTAGTTATAGCTGATATGATCTGCCAGTGGCAGAAGTGATGGCCCGCTAAAAGTGAAAAACTGAATGATTTGCATATCAGTCTTTGCAAATAAAAAAGAGGGAGAAGATTTGTTAGTCTTGGAGCCTATTTATAAACCTGGAACCAGATCCATGCCTGTAATTGAAGCTTACTGTATTAACAGCAGGATATATTAGAGTAATATTTTCATGTCAAAAATACTCTCGGACTCCCATTGCAGTAACACTAAAGCACATGCATGTTTTTCATCTCTGGTAAATGAGTTAACAGCCATCTTGCCTTTGTTCTCAGTACCAGGTATGTTGATGCCACCCTCTTACACTTCCTCTTTTCATGGAAGAGTTCCCCACATCAAAGCTAGTGGAGCTTTTTAGACTTATACGCAGCATTGGGGCCGCGGCCAGTTGAGGGTTGAGGGTGCATATACACTAAAACCCCAAGGCCAGGAGCTCGTAAAGACATGTTACCTTGGAGTCTCTCATTCTGACTGTGTTTCAGGTGTGTTTTTACTGTTATTATGAGTAACATCCTACAAAACAAATCCAGAGCAACCATAAAAGGTCAGCATGGAGAGAGCTGTGAGACCTTTGTGTCTGCTCTCAGTGTTCCAGGCAGTTAAGGCAGGGATTAACCTCATGGGCAACATGAGCTGTCCGCTTAAAGGCAGGGATGAGGCAGCTTAACACTGACACACACACACCCACACAGCGGCACACAAAATATTTAACAGCCAGGCAAATAGGCAAGCAAATGCTCACAAACTTGTACACGTGTTTGCATACAAACTCACAGAGACCAGCCTGTTCTTTCATGCTAGTGAGAACCTCGGCCCTCGATCAAGATGACGGTCAGGCACCAGAACAGACGTTTGATTTCAGCAGCAAAATGCATCCAAGAAACCTTCAGCCCTTTATGAATGGGGAATAGAAAGCGCACAGAGTGGAAAACGTCCGTGAAAGTCAGCCTTTTCGATGTCCGATAATCAAACACTCCCCTTGGCACGACGATCGCTGTGCTCCAGGAGTCCTCGCTCTTTCTTTCATCCCGTCCAACCACCCACCCAGAAAAAAACCCCTGCCCCGCTGCTATCACCACCACAGTGTCATGCTCTCCGAAGTCACTGCATGACACTAATGCAGGCATCCCCACGCACAAGTAGGAAAACACAACAGAGAAAAAAAAACAGAATCAGATATGGGATGGCTTGGCAATTAATCTTTTAAATTGCCTCAATCACTTAGTTAAACACAGCAGTGCTGAAAGGAAGGCTCTGGCAGGGTTAGGGGCCTTGCAGACACTGTAGACCCCCTCTTTCTCCTCCCTCCTTCTCCCCAGCTTTTTTCTGTAACCTACCTCCAACCACCTCAGTGACCGCCGCTGTGCTGCCTTGCCCACACTTGTTTGGCGAGGCTGTTTGCTCAAATAGCCACAAACCCCACCTCCATCACCCCCACCGCCTGCTTCAACGCAGTGTCCACACTTGCTGCCACCAACCCAGCAGCTTTTATTTAGTGTTCTACCATGCTAGCAGTGATGTGGTCAGGCTCGGGCCACTCTGCCAGTCTAGAGGCTCTTCCATTGCGGCCTCCAGACACAGGGTCCATATTGACCAAGCAGCCAGCTAATGGTCATCGCGGGCAGCCTCGGCCTGAATCAAAGGCTTCATTTATTGCCAGAACGTGGAAGGAGAACTAGTGGCAGAGGTGGCAAATATGTGCTTCATCCCTTGCCGTTGGTTTTGGAAGGCAGTGCAGATAAAACCCATATTAAAAATCAATGTATGCACTAATATTCAGCAGACCCGCCGCAAAAACTGGGAGCCCTCAGTGAACCCATAGAATGCCCCCCCCCACCACACACACACACACACACACACACACACCACACCCCACCCTCATTTTCCCTCAGGATATGTGAATTGCAAGGCTTATGGTTGGACCATGAAACACTGGGTGCTGCTGTGAAGAAGTGTGCTGATGGAAAAGTTGTGTAAACGAGCATAGGTGAAGGTTTTTGGACACGCCTGCACGTCTTACCGTTCCACGTATGAGATTTAGGATTTACTGTTGGGCAGTAAATCAGTAAACCACAGGAATTTCTCTACTGAATATGAGGAAGACAACATTTCAAAATGATGCCATGAAGTTGTTTGAAGTCACAGACTTTAGGGGGACTTCTTCCCATGTCCCCAGTTAAAACACCTACCCAGCAACAATGGGTGTTGGATTGCTCCGGTTTTACTGTGTAAAGATCCATAATTTTTTGGGCTTTCCTCCCACTGAATTGCCACATGACAGTGTGATGGACAGGACTTCTAGACAAACATGGTGTTACAGGCAGCAGTAAAGGCCCCACTGAAACGCTTAGCTGCTTCTGTAAGTCAGTGCTGGTGTCTAAGGTGTGTTTTTCACACATTAATCACTGTCCTTATCTGACTAGTGACATGGAGACTGAGAGGAGCAGACAGGGCTAAAACAACAAAAATACATTTTGCTCCAAAGACACACTGTTAAACAAATATCGATTTCAACAAGTCATTAAATCTATTATTGTCTATTTACTTTTTTAAAACTGCCCAGTGGTTTAGGGTCACTTCAGTTCTGCAGAGGATAAACCAGGCCAGGCTCAGTTCACCAGAGAACCAAAGGAAAACTTTGGTTCTCTGGTTCAAAACTTGGCTCATGTTCTACAGTAAGCTGGTCTCTGAACCCTGATGGAAGTAAGACAGAGACACACCAATTCAAACATTAGTGAAAAGACATTTAAGCATGGTTAGCACTAGCACTGGTACACCACCATTGCTGTAAGTATAAAGTCACATTATGGTATTTCATATTGGGAGGCATTGAAAATGTTTGTATATGAGTGAGCAGGTATGTAAGGGCTGGGTGGGCAGAGAAATATCAGAGCGGTTTGCGGGAAACTGCTGAAGCTCCCACGACAAAAGCAGCAGCCAAAGTAAACGTCTGCCATCCCGAGGAAAAAGATTTCAGTGTTGATGCAGTGGAGGGAGTGAGGGAGATAGGTTTGTGTACTGATGTGGTGGTGAGGAGTGAGGGAGTGAGGGAGGGACCAGTCCCTTTAGACTGCATACACAAACACTTAACTATATGTTGGTTCATGAGCACATGGGTGGAAGTGTGTGCATAAACACACTGGCAAAAACAACGGCGGCTTTGGGCTGGACACTGGGGGCTCATAGAGAATTCAGCACGAGCCCCCTCACTAATAAAATTCACAGTGTTGGTATTAGTGAGATTTAGTAGGGAAAATAAACATTTTCCCACTCCGGCTGGCCAGGGGGGTGGCTAGGCAGGCTGAAAATGTGGAGGCCTGGGGCCCTGCTGGCACGAACTCAAGCTGGGGAATAATGGGGGGGGCGAGCTGAAGAGCAGCTCCCGTTCATCATGGAGAGGGACTTTGCAAAGGCCTGCTTCACCCTAGACAAGGTCAAAGTGGACAAGCCTAGCTTTAGACTGTCATCAGCAATTTTGTCTTTTTAGTTTAATAATGCGCTTTGGTGTGTCTACTTCATGTTTGTAGCAGGATACTAGTTTTTAACTCCATTCCACACCCTTCCAAGAAGATCATGAGTTATGGAATGACAGAAAAGTAAAGGGCTTTGCTTCCCTATGTTTGTCCTCTGTGTCATATTAAGGAGGTATGACCTTAAAGGTTAAAGTCTGAGAACAAAACTCTTATGTGCACTACTGATTACATGAAAGATTGTGACATAAGTGGCTGCAGCCTTGTTCTACAACATGGACACTGATAACACATCTCTGGCTCTTTTTAGGTAAAACCCCCAGGCCAGTTGTGTATACTCAGCATACTTGCATAAATGCAAAACTAAAATATTCAAGCTTAACCCATTTACAAGATGGTCAAAGGAGGAGAAACTTACTGTACAGTAAACCTCTCCAACCCACAGAATAAAATACCAAAAACCCATAAAACACAGTAAGATCATACTCTTGGCTTGACTCTATGATCTGAATTCAGTCAGAGCAGATGCTATAATTTTTTTATGTAAACTCAAGCACATATTTCTGTTAGCAGAGACTGCATGTTCACACGTTCAAGGATGTTTTGAGGTTTGCATTTCTCAATACGTGTTTGAGGATATATTGGCACTAAGCTAAGCTGTTGGCGCTGTTTCTGTATCCAACTCAGCTGCAATCCAGCTCAGACTGCTCATCATTCAGTTGCTGGAAGAATTCAACTGTCTCTTTTAGCTCCACTGTCTCCATGAACTCAACAAGAGGCCAACTGCCCTCACTCAAGAATAGGCGGTGAAAACCAATCTGAAGTTGCAAGTGCTTTTTTCTTTTAGATAAAGATGATGGTCACAGTCCCAGTTTTGGGATATTATTGGAGAAAATGCTACGTACCACTTCTTTGCAGAGCCTTACGGTGACCTTCCATGTGCTTGGGGCTAGGATGACACTGAGAGCTAGCTGCTTCTGGGGATTAGCACAACCCTCCAATTAAAGTGTTTTCATTTTCCACAAAGCCATTTCAGTTCAAACAGGAGGCAAATGCTTAAAATAATCACACACACACTCAAACACGTACACACTCTTCCCTCCCATCCTTTTCAATATATATTTTTTTCTTTACTGTATCAATGTGCACTGGAGCGCCTGTAATTATGACTCGCTATATAAATCCAGATCCCACAATTACAACCAGCCCAGGATACAGTCCCACATAGAAATGGCACACACACGCACACACACACACACACACACACACCATTTTACCACATACTACCGCACCGCCATGGTCTGTGCAACATCTGTTTTCTCACTCCCTGCCGGAACCTGCTCACCCTTTCAATTATAACCACTACCTATAAAACACCCCTTTACCAAGTGGTGAGAGGTGTGTGTGCAAGTTTGTGTGAAATTTGTTCCAGGCAAAATTAGGTTAGACCAATGACATCCATTGGAACAACACCGAGCTAAACAAAGCTAGCTTGTCCGCACCTCAGTTTTAGAAGACTAAACATTACATACATTTAGCTTTGTTGCCGGAGGCGTGAAGAATTCTTCTGAGCTGAGGTTGATGTATAGATTGAGGGGGTGGTTTGAAGATGGAGGGCGGTGTTCTAGGCACAGTGCCCAGAAGGGTGAGGCAGGCGCCAGGCTACCCGGCCACCAGGCTGTGAGGCCTGTTTTCTGCTTTATAGAGGGGAATATTAATACACTTATCTCCCATTAAATCTGTTGGCAAGGCAGCGAGCTCGCCTCGCTGCAAAAACAGCAAATCCTCGCAGCTGCACGACCTGTATGGCGCAATGCATAGCTTATCAAAACTCCTCATTCATGTTCCCAAGTGGAGGATCGCCTGCCTCTCTCCACACAATGTGTTTTTTCTGCTCCTTTACTCTGTCCCTACTCCTCTATGTAGTTAACCAAAGATGACACATTTATTTATTAGTCTTAAAGAGGCACATTCCCAAGGAGCGTTTGTTGTTTTTGCCAACTCTTTCATACACATCTCTATCATCTCCACCAGTCTTTTTTTTTTTTAGGCCCCTGTCGTCTGCAGTCTGAAGTTCCCGGGGGCCTTTTAACTAAGTGCATATGCCTCCGCTTTACGACTCGCCACCTCCAAACATAATAGTTTTGAAAGTAAGATCCTGGTTTATGGCTGTAGGTCTGGCTCGGTGATTATGGCGGTGCCTGGACTCATTTGTCTTGAGGGCTTGTGAGTTCCACCAGCAAAGAGTCAAGGATTGGCTTCATATTGAAAGCAGTGGAGTTGACATGCAGCAAATGTGTGCTTAGGTGAGTTGTGATGGGCCTATTATGAGTTTCCTGCCTCCCGCGCCTCCGATGATGTATGCTGTAAGATTTCATTAATTACACGTGTGCACAAAGACTCACATGCCCGTGCAGCTCTCTGTCCCCTCACACTTCGAAGCAGCACCTGTTGGTCCCAAGCAAGTGCTCTGTCTCTGTGGGATTGGGAGTGGGGGCTACATGCCTCAGAAATTAAGAAATACACACATGAATGATTGACTATTAGTATGTATGGAAAAATAAATAGCCTTCTCTTCAAGTTCATGGGAAAGTATCACCCCCGTCATGTTCTTGTGCTCTTTTCAACGAGAATTAGAAAACAGTGTAGCAAACTGGTCTAGCGGGCGGCCATGAACCCTACCTTCTTTGAGTCAGCCTTGTTCGTTTTTAATGGTATTCTGAGATCAATTTGTTTAAATTGCCTCCATTTACTTGCCCAAGTACAACGGTCTGAAAGAGATCTCTATCACGGTAATTACTGAGAATGATTGGGGCGATTCATTATGCATAAGAGGATGCGAATGTTAAATAGGGGAGCTGTGTGTGTGTGTGTGTGTGTGTGTGTGTGTGTGTGAGAGAGAGATGCCGGAGATAGTGTGGCTTAGCATGGCTGTGACCTCCACTAGAATGCTCAGGACTGAATGCTACATCAACAACATGCTCCAGCGTAAATGCTGGTTTTTATTGAGGCCAGGCAGCGAGTATGATGCATTCACACATTAGTTCTCCATTCTGGATAACTGTGAGCCATGACAGCAGTATCTTAAATGTTGACAATAATAAACACAAGACATCATACAGTACATTTGTAAGTAAGTAGTTGATCTCTTTTGAAATCGTTCATTCCGCTATTAATGCTGATTTGGCTGACATTGTCTCTATTGTGTCTTTGTGTGTCTGTATCCAGTATCACGTTTCTCGAGCCCACGGCTGACACCCCGACTGAGCAGGAAGCGGGCGCTGTCTATCTCCCCACTGTCAGATGCCAGCATTGACCTGCAGACCATGATCCGCACCTCACCCAACTCCCTGGTGGCCTACATCAACAACTCCCGTTCCAGCTCAGCCGCCAGCAGCTCCTATGGGCACCTTTCAGTCGGAGGGATCAGGTAGTCAGACAGTGCACATGCATACATATCTAGCAATTACAAACATGCATACACGCATTTACATGCATATACACACTTGATACATGCATACATAGTTGAGATTATATCTGGGACCACTCTTTTTGGTGAAACAGTAAATAAAAAAGGAACAGTCTGAGCGATTGTGTAAAAGTACTCAATTAAGCAAAATTCCTAGATATCTAGTTTCAGTAACTGTCTTTTACTGTAATCTTCTGAAGCAAATTTACCACTAACCATAATTAGTAGTATTTGAAAAAGTTGTATCCAACCGTATCCAATGAGGCCAAAACACTTTAGGGAATGGTCACATTTGCACTGGTTTGTGAATATTGACTTTATTTCCCAGTCACAGCTATTAAAAACCGTGAATTTAGTTTGTTTTCAGCAACAAATGCAAGTCAATCTTCAGAAATATTTGTATAAAGCTGACCAGCGCCTAGCCAGCAGAAATGCTATCTGAGCAGCCTGGTTCTCAGTAGTAAGCCAGTAATAAGACTAGAATAGATGACACGTGCTATGCAAATGTTTTCTTACTTCTCTGTACAGCTGCAAACACATCAGTGACCTTTTTCATTTTTTTTGTTACCCTCACAAACACGGTCCTGCTGCTTCAGATGCACTATTTACTCCTGTTTGAGTAACGTTTCTTAAAAACTACAGTGCACTGCTGTTTTAGGAAATTGTTCAGACTTACCTCTTAAGTTTAAACAAATGGACTTGGGGCTGAGGTAGGAGTCGGAAAGTGCTGAGAGACAGACTGACGCAATCTTGGTTTGGGTCTTTTCTTGGGATTTGCTGACAATGCGGAAACTATTGTAGAAAGCCAATAATAGCACAAGAAATACCATGATAGTAGCTTACACTGCTAGGTGATAATAAATTGCTACTAGTGTCCGACTAGCATGGCTAGTAGCCTGGCATGCTAACACTTGGTCTAAGTGTGGGTTTCTTCTTTGAGTATTAGCCACTAGACCATTCATATTTTGCATGAGTTAACTTCTTTCCTTTTTCCTCTCACTCAGCCCCTCGTTCAGCTTCCCTCATCCCATCAACCCAGTGGCGTACCAGCAGCTGTTGTCCCAGCATAGGACGATCAACGCCTTCGGCCACACTCCGCCTCTCATTCAACCATCGGCGTCCTCTTTCTCTACTCGCCAACACCCCCTCACCGCTTCACCTATGTCCACCTCCCACAACGGTTCCAGCTCTGAGGCAATCCAGGTAGGAAGGGAAGGGAGCCTTTTTACCCTTGAATGTTACAATTTCAAGTGTACACTACTAATAAAATGTACACAGATTAATATACACACATTCTCTCAGTCTTTCTTACAATAAAACCATTTATATGGATATGTAATGTGTGGGGTACATTGAGGTTTTCTCTAACAATTTCTCCTACCAAATGGATGATTTTTCATACAAAAATATGCAAAACTTGATCCTGATGCAGGAAGCAGCCATGTAATGTGTAAAGAGGAAATTTCCCCAGTGTTATAATGATAATATAACAAGATCTTAAAGTTAGCATTATATTAAGTGTCATTCCCCCAAAAAAGTCATGTACGTTGAGCAACCATTCAGAGTAGAGCTAAAACTAATGATGATTTACATTACTTGAATACTAATGTATTCAGTTTTTCAGTTCATTGGTAAAGCATGTAGTCAAACAATTGCCCAGCACAAGCTCACAGAGCCAAAAGGTGTTTAAATGTGTACTTTGTCCAACAAATAGTCCTGAACAATATATTAAAATTAATGTATAACTGACAAATACTCACATTTAAAATGGAACCAGCAAGTTAGGCATGTTTTGCTTCATACACAATAAAAATAAATAATCAATTGAAAATCAAAATTGTTGACAGGCAATTAAGTCATTCAACTAGTCGAATAATTGTGTCGGCACATTTATTGGACTTTAAATGTAGCATAAATTTACAAGTTCTCATGAATTAAGTATTTTTTGTAAATTGTCTCAGGTCGGAAATATGCAGGAGTCTCCCTCCCAGGTGCATCTGTCTTACTTCCTACTGTCTCCTCTGTCTCTCTTTATCAGCCCACTGTTTACACCACAGCCACTCGTAATGTAAACTTCCCACTCTGAATCACTCGCCTCTCCTGTCATCTGCCTCCAGCTCTGTTTCAGCACGGTGTCTTCTGACACACGCCAAGACTATCCAAGTATCCCAGAGTATATTTTGTACCTTTTTGCTTTTCACATTTATACACATTCAGCTTCATTTCAACAGTGATCAGAACCATATTTCCCTATTGGATTTCAGCCAACTAAATGAATCATCCAGGCCTCCAGAAATGCTGAACTGCACTGTAGAGTCTGGGTGGGATTAGGAGACCCCCCTTCATTATTGGACCCCCTCCAATGAACCTCAATATACACACACATACACAATAATTTATCAGCTGCTTTACATTTTAAATCTTTCCTTTCTTTTCGTCTCCATTAGAGCTGTAACAACCTTCTCTTTGTCTTCCTGTCGTCTTCAGAATCTGTTGTCAGATCAAAGCCCTACCTCCAGAACCCCAGCCCTGCCGCCTTCCCCCTCTCTACCGAGAGTAATAACTTCTCTTATTTCATATTTCCTTGTGGCTTTGGTGATTCTAAAGCAGTCTAAACTGTTTAGTCTTGGCAGCGGGTCCTAGCCTGACTTATGGGCCCCGGTGCCTGGCACAACTAGGACTCCACACGTCTCTTTGCAACAGACTATCGAGCCAAAACCAATTGTGCAGTATCTCTGTGACTCTGTTATCTGATTCCCCTCCGCCTCTCCCTGTGGTGACTGTGAGCAGTAGTGGTAACTGAGTGGAATCTGGTGGTTTAATAAATTAAATGGATGGTTAGATTCATAGAACGAGTTGGAGGGCTAATGGATGGAGGGGTAGGTTGGTATGTGTTAGGATTAATGGAATGATTCACCGATAGTTTATGAATGAGTGGGTTGTCGGGTTAACGAATGGGTGTTTGGATAAATGCATTTATATGCATGAATTACAAAAGGAGGATATTATTCTGCCTGCTTTTCTGCTTCAAAAAGTCATTCAGAAAATCATTTCAGCTACATGTGTTTCTGTCCTTCAGAATGCCAGTGGAGACCCAGCAGTGAGTAGCACAGTCAACCCACTGACCACCAAGAGGTCAAAGGTTAAGACGGAAGCAGAGGGTCCACTGCCCATCTCACCGTCCTCTCAGGTAAGAGAATCAAAAAATAGTGGACATAAGTAGAGAATCTGAAATCTGGCAAAAACAGAAAGGAAATGCAACATTATATATCGAGATGCTAACTTCAAGCCCCGAACCAGCCAGATAAATCTGGCTCTGGAAAAGTGAACAAGCAGCACTTACCACTACCACCACTGAGGTGCCCTTGAGCAAGGCACTTAACCCCAACCACTCCAGCAGAGCAGCTCAGTGGTCAGCAGATCAGACTGTGGTTGTACTGTGGGTATGTGATCAGGGCCGTCCTGCAAAAGAGAGGCTTCCTGAAGTTCCCCTGAATAAATAAAAGTTTAAAAAAAAAAAAATAGTTTAAGGTTGCACCTCCCATACCAAACAATTATTCCTTTTCTGGAAAAAACTTTTTGGATCTGCAGTAACCTTAAATATGTCCTAATCAACCACATAGATATAGTTTTGTAACCTATTTCCATCACAGCTTCAGCTGCTTGCAGTAGGAAAACAGTCCCCTCTTTAACTGCAGTTGCTAATTTGGCTCCAATTGATTATAGGGAATGAATAAAACTGCAGCTTTAATCAGTGACAAGCGTTGTCGTCGTGCATTGAGATCAAGCAACAACTCATTAGGATTAAGGAACAGATAAGATAAGAGAGATGCAAAACAGTTCAGAATGCTTCTTTAACATATTGACCACAGATAGTCTGTGTTTGCATGTTTTTATTTTGGTGATTTATACACTTTAATAGAAACACATCTTTACTGTTTGTTAGTCCCCTTCTGACAAAGTACTGTCCCCCTTCTCCAGGACCATGGTGGAGGGATCTTGGACTTGAGTGAGGATCTGGATAAGGACGAGTGCAAACAGGAACCCGAGGCCATATATGAGACCAACTGCCACTGGGAGAGCTGTACCAAAGAGTATGACACCCAGGACCAGCTTGTTCATGTGAGTCATAGGCTTGGTGTCCTTATGACTATTATTGAGACTTACTGAATGACAAACCACAGTGAAAACACAAACTGTCCAATGTCAAGTCTTTCAGCAGACATGTTTCATCTCGCTATGCTGGATGCTGTCATTAACATTATTAGTTTAATTTGCTGTATTGACAGTAAATTCCAAACAGTGCCATCAGAACCACTGCATTTTGTTGTTTAGAAAGTGAAAAGTTCAAGCAACTCTTCTGCTGCTCATTAAATCCACGCTGAGTGAGTCCAGTCAGAAAGCTGTCCAGTAACTGATCCTTTCCTGTTGGGTTGACACGCGTACACGTTAATGAGCCTGCGGGTTCTCATCGTATTCAAGCCCAAGCCTTGCAGCTGTGCCCCCCCCCCACCCTACAGCCCCGTGACCCCTAACCCCTAACCTCTCACTCCCAGCAACACCCCCCAACCTCTGAAGCCCAGAGGGCCGGCCATAAATCCATCGTCATGCCAGAAGCTCTGGAACCTCATGCACCCCCCTTTTCCAGGCCAACTTCTCTTCTTGCTTTCCACTTTCCAACTGGCTGTCAGTCATCACATAGCAGTGCTAGAAGGGGCATATGTCGGTTCCACAGACCCAGAGACTGATGGGAGGTGGTGGTGAACGGTCAAGTCAGGACCAGAGTTACCTTTAAGAACCTTTGCCCCAACTCCAGCTCCCTAGCCACAAACTCTGTGAGAGCTTGCCAGGATTAGTGAGTGGACTAGCAGAGGGTCTGTGGTTTGTTCTTAGATGTGGTTGGACAATGTGAGGCCAACACATTCTTTAATCCTCACAGGACCATGGGGTTTTTAAATGTCTCTGCTTTCTGTCAACTTTAGAAAAAACAACCAGAAATCCAGGGGTGCAATAATCATTTTTTCTTCCAAAACTCCTGACAGCATCTCCCTAAGCACAGTCAGGGTTTCACACAAGGTTCTCACAATATCAGCAAAAAACACACACACCTGTGGGTTTTTCTAGCTTCTGCCCTGTTACAAGAGCCCCCAAATTATGGATTCACAGCAGTGTGCAAACTGAAAATAGACCCCTCTGCTTGTTTCCATTCCTCCTCCTTGACCCAAAATAGATCTCAGCAGAATCGTCAACCACTGAGCTTTTTCGCTGGTGGAGAAGTGGCCACATAAGTGGAGCATAGTGGGCCTGGATGTCCTCAGGAAATGAAGTGGTTCCTCTGGGTGTGTGGATATTTGCGTGTGGTGCACGGGATGAGAGGTTTTAAGTGTAACTGTTCTGAAACATTGTGTGTGTGTGTGTGTGTGTGTGTGTACAGTATGTGTGTGTTTGTCTGCAATGTAAGTCATTAGAGTTTGATATAAACCTTTTGTGTCTGAGGGTATAATTAAAGAAAACTTTGACACACCATAGTAGTAGGAGTAACTGACTGCCTCCTTATCCAGCAGTGCAAATTAAAAAATCAAAAAATCATTAAACATGGAATATATGCTGGAATAACACGAGATGTATAGTTTTGCAGTGTAGACGGATGATTTAAATGAGAATTGTCTGAGATATCACATTCAGGTTTGCAGTATAATTTATCTGAAACTACTAGACTAGCTAACAAAGATTTAAGCTTAAGCATCACACAGGAAACTTTGCATGTACCACACTGACTTCTTGATCCTTCAAAAGTAAGGATGGAAGATAAATGCAAGTCCGACACAAAATCCTCTTCCTGATGACTTTTACTGGGATCTGAGGAAGTTCCTCTTCCTTGAGAAACTAACACACAGATAGAGAGACACCCATACACACAGCCTGAAAAAACAGACACAGCGCTTTTATAGTTTTTGTCTCCTGTTGACAGATGCATAGTAACTGTCAGCCATAATGGATGGCACCGTCACTCACAATGCGTGTGTGTGTGTGTGTGTGTGTGTGTGTGCATGTGTGTGCAAGTACGCACGGACCCATGAAAGAGGGAGAATCTTCTGGTGGGAAAAAGACAAGAATTTGCTGACTCGTTTTTAGTAATACACACACACATGCGCGCACACAAGCACACATACATTTGGTGTCTAGTCACCATTTGAACATTAGCCCGTCGTCTGTATCACAGACGCATGTTCTGATACATTTTGATGATTGACTTGAATTAAATTGTCTCCTCAGCACATCAACAACGACCACATCCACGGTGAGAAAAAGGAGTTTGTGTGTCGCTGGGAGGAGTGTTCACGGGAGCAGAAACCCTTCAAGGCTCAGTACATGCTGGTGGTCCACATGAGGCGTCACACAGGGGAGAAGCCGCATAAATGCACAGTAAGAACCTTGTATCACTGTAAAACACTGTAGGGGACTGTTTGTAACTAGCTGGTTAACTTACTGACTAAGCATGAGATCATCGGACTCGCTCACTTACTGTCTGTCTGACTGACTGGCTAGTGTACACAGGCATACTCCAGCAATTAGTGTCAAATCAAAAAGCAGAGGCCAAAATAACCAGACTTTTTGGCAAAAACACTTGATCCTACATTTCCCATAATGCAACCAATGTCATCTTTTTTTCAGAGCTTCCCTACCTAAATGTCCACGTCTTTCAAACCCCACTCCCCAGTTTGTAACGATTTTTGTTGAAAATCTCAGAGCCTAAGCTGAGTAACCCTGATGACATCACAATTACATCATTAGGGTTATTTTCTCAGACTTGACAAAGCTCCTCCAGATACAAAGTAGATATTACTGAGCCGACAACTGCTTTTATGGACTGAGTAGCACTCTGGCAGTAGAATGGTAAATTGATCTTCATGTGTAAAGTCTGTGGAGTGGCAGTTGGCAGAGACATGCTGTAGTCTCTACAAGCAAGTTACTGTGATTTGTGATTACTGTGCTGACTAATTTAGGTTTGGTAGGTGCCAGTCTTTGAGAAGTTACAGAAGCCTATGTGTAATACATGAAATATAACACATTATGCAGAAATATTTTGGGGCATTTCGTTCTGATATCTGTATAAATGATTGTAAAACTTTCAGAATTTGCGTGGCTATTTACAAGCAATATTATTTGAATATATGGCTTAATTTGTGTTGCATAAGTGCTGGGTTGCTAAAGACCTGAGTTATGTAGGAATGTTTGAAAAAAACACCCATGCATTTAAGGGTTAACCGGGTTAACTCCTGGAACTAGAACTTGGCTGTTGCTCACATTAGCAGCCGTACGGTTACACTACAACTCCCAACCCTTTGCCTGAGGATGATCAAAAAAAAATGTTCAGTGATTTTCTTTGTGCTTAGCAGCAGTGATATTGTCCACGTTGATAAATCATGAGGGTTTTATTGAAGCCTTCATTTGCTGTGTAAAGATCAAATTGAGGGCCTGTTTGCTTGGCTTCAAAGCTTGCTCACAGGCTCTTATGAATGCATTAAAACAGATGACTTGTGAAGGAGAGAGTGAAGAAAGCTGATTGACAGCGTAGGCGCATAATTAAAGTCTGCAGACAAGCAGGGGGCCATGGGTACTTATTAAGACCACGCTGTATATTCTCTGCACAAATCCCACGTGCATCTTCTCATAAAACTCTAACTCTCCTTTAGTCTCGTCTTTAAAGGGAGAATCTTTTGACTTTTATATCCAATTTTTGAGGTAGTCTAATTTGATTCTCTTTTAATTTCAGAGCCAATAATATTCATAGTGACTGCTCAGAAGGAATACCAAATTATAGCTTGTACAGTACAAGTGAATACAAAGGCTAAACACAGACTTCTCCTTGTCTCAACAAAGCACACTAGACAAAGCACTCTGCCACACCTCACACTTAGATTGGATATTTCGCGTAATAGCCATTTTTACTTAGTGTAGCACTGCTTTGCTTTTGTGTGGCACGCCACAGTAGGTGGGCACGAGTCCAAGAGTAGATTACATATAAAAACTGAAACACAGAGCTTTTTTATGTTGTTGTTGCCTGGCTCTTTTCTCTACCCAGCTGCAGACAAAATAACACAGCACTCAGACAGTGTGTCTCACTGTCTATCTGTCTCTCTGCAGTTTGAGGGCTGCTCAAAAGCTTACTCTCGCTTGGAGAACCTCAAGACCCACCTCAGGTCCCACACAGGGGAGAAGCCGTATGTGTGTGAACATGAAGGCTGCAACAAGGCCTTCTCCAATGCCTCAGACCGGGCCAAGCACCAGAACCGCACACACTCTAATGAGGTATGTTCATGCTCTGAACCACCAAGGTATTATTTTTTCTCAAAGGAGAACACAGAACACGTGATTTACAGAGCAGATATGTATCTTACAATTGACCAAAAAAGCAATTTCATTTCAAATGGACTTCTTTCCTCTTTGCAGAAACCATATGTGTGTAAGATCACAGGCTGTACAAAGCGCTACACAGACCCCAGCTCTCTCCGGAAACATGTTAAGACAGTCCACGGACCCGAAGCCCACGTCACTAAGAAACAACGAAGCGACGCACCTCCCAGACTGCAGCCACCCAAAGGCAACGGAGAGAATGAGACAAATTCCAAGCTTGGTGCAAGAGGCGTGGACGGCAGGATTGAGGTCAACAACACCTCTAGAGGAGTGGAAGACTGCCTACAAGTCAAATCTATCAAGACCGAGAACTCTATGGTGGGTCCTGATGACATAAATTAAAAAAAGTTATCCTATACAAACCTTTTTTATGGTTCATAAAAATAAATTGAAATTATGGAGTTTTGATTGACTGCATCTTGAAGGACTTTCTGCGCTCCATTTGATCAGTTTTACCTGTTAATAAAAGGATGACATTGCATGCCTTTGGGTGAAAACAACAAAGAGAACAGCACACTTATTTCCTTACTGTTTTTCACTTTACTAACATTGCTGTGAGGTTAAATATTTACTGCCAGTACTGCCTGCATCCTTCCTAACTCACCTCTCTGGTTGTTGCTTGAACTTGCTTCTCTCAAGTTCACCTTCTTAATGGACAGACTTCACTGAGGTGAGCGCTCAAACTGTCTCTGTGTCTTGTTCCAACTCAGCATGGGAGATGCGCGAGTGTGGCCTCATGTTTCATTCTACATTGTGGCATTCTTGCATGATGTATTATGTCCTTTTTGCATGATCATCCATTTTCACAAATTTAAAACATGCTCTTTTGTATATGGGATACAATATGCATGTTTGGAGACAAATCTACAACAGTTTTTCTGTCCACAAGATCACTGGCAGTAGCCCCTGCTGTCGGCAGATGATAAAAGTCATTGTCTCATTAATATTCAAAGGGTTGGACTGTTTTAGCATGTATGCTGAACAAATTGTGCCAGCATCTAGCTGCGATCGAGACTTTAGTCCATTTTAGGCCAGTTTGAATTACTGTCGCTGCTGTGCTGGTTTGTTGCTCACAGAACTCATCTATTATCCACTTGTTTTCTTGTTGTAAATAAATCAAACTCATGTATAATTAATGAGATTATGGAACTATAGGCCTACATTAGTTATTACAAAACCATTACAATCAGAATTTTTTAACTGTGGAAATTATTTAATATTGAAGAATATATAAAGGAGTTCTCTGAACTTGGCATGTGACTACATGTTTTATTATTTTATTTTATTATTTTCAGGGGTTTTTTACCATGTAAATAGCTAATTGTTATCTGGCAGAATATTTATTCACTAGTGGAACATTGAACAATGTACTACTATCATTTATGATAAAGCTTCTATAGTTTGATTAATTAGACTTACATCAAGTTCCTCCCTGCTGTTCTCCTCCAGACGTATCACTCCAGTCCTGGCGGCCACTCGTCATGTAGCAGTGAGCCGTCACCTCTAAGCAGCGCCAACAACAACGACAGTGGGGTGGAGATGGCCATGCACAGCGGGGGCAGCTTCGGGGACCTAAGTGCACAGGATGAGTGCCCCATGGTTGACTCCACTGTTCCCGCTGGGGGACAGCAGGCTGGGATGGGGCTTCAGTTGAGGAAAGCTGTGGGTCATGGTGGTGCGGTCACCATCAAGCTGGAGAATATCAAGAAGGAAAGGCTGAAGACAATGAGGGACTCCTGCCCCTGGGTCAACTCTGCACCACAGCCACTGCAGGGCCAACGCAACAGCATGAAGCTGCCTCCCATTCCTGCAGTCGGTAAGTGTTGAAGGTTGAGGATCTGTTTGATGTCTTAACTGTGTGACGAGGGTGTAAGAGGGATCCATCTTATGAGAGATGGCTGAATGGCATTATGTCTTAGTAGAGTGAGTCCAATAGCCAAATCATTGTACAAAACTATGTACAGTACAGTGTGTAAATAAAAAAAATGTAAATGTAATAATGTCCCTTGTATCTGCCAGGTTCCCTGCTGGAGAGCTCCAACATGATGACTAACTTAAGCGGTTCGTATCCTGGCCAGCGCATGGGTGACCTATCTTCATGTGAAGTGACATTGCTGAACCAGCTGAATGAGCGACGTGACAGCACCACCAGCACCATCAGCTCAGCTTACACCTTGAGTCGGCGCTCCTCCGGTATTTCACCTTGCTATTCCAGCCGCCGCTCCAGTGAGGCGTCCCACTTTGGTGCTAACCGCCATAACAATATCAGTTCAGCTGACTCCTATGACCCAATATCCACTGATCTGTCTCGCCGCTCCAGCGAGGCCAGCCATTGTGGAGGTGGTGGTGGTGTCAGCGGAGGAGGAGGTGTCTCAAGCCTCCTTAGTTTGACACCAGCTCAGCATTATCGGCTCAAGGCAAAGTACGCTGCTGCCATTGGTGGAGCTCCACCTACTCCTCTCCCCAATATGGACCGAATGAGCCTGAGGACCCGCATGGCATTCTACAGTGACTCCCAGGAAGGCTCGTCACACCCATTCCATCAGCCACCCTCTGGAACTGTGCCTCGGCGATGCAGTGATATTGGATATGGCACACAGAGCATGATGCCCCATGAGGTACCCACCAACCTTCCACGCCGTGCCAGTGACCCAGTGCGTCGTCCCGCATTGGACCCTCTCTCCTTTCCTAGGGTCCAGCGCTATAACAGCACGAACAGCATGAACCCCATGAATGGCCAATCAGCTGAACGCCACCAGGCACTGGCTATGCAGGGCTACACTCGTTCTGATGGCAGCCTGCAACGTTACCCATTCGCCCCCCGACCACCGAGCATTTCTGAGAATGTAGTCATGGAGAACATGGCAGTAGATGGGATGATGACTGGGGGGGGACAGAGTGGGGAGGATGATATGGTGCTTCCAGATGATGTGGTGCAGTACCTCAGGACCCAGAATTCGGGCCCCTCAGGTCACAACTTGGGGCGAGTGGATTACCATTCAAACAATCAGACTCAGGGCTACCAGACAGGCATGGCCCCACCAGCATCATTTTATTCACAGAGGAGGATGGCCATGGTGGATGCCACCAATACTCAGTCTGGTCAGGACATGCAATCCTGCCACATGGCTCCTGGTGGCTCCCAGCAGCCCTTCTCCGCACCTTCGGACAACATGAACAAGAATAACATGCCGGTGCAATGGAATGAGGTGAGCTCAGGGACTGTGGACACCACAACCAAGCTCTCCAAACAACAGCAGCATCCTCTCAGGGGGAACCTAGCTGTTGTTCAACAGAGGCACAATTTTGGTTCTTTCCCAGGACAAGGACAGGGCCTGGGCAGCAATCAGCAGGTAGTGCCTATGAGTCAGAATATGTCTATGCAGGGGTATGTGAACCACAACAGCCAGAGGCTGATGAACATCTCCCACCAGCAGCATCAGCAACAAAGGCAATGCAACAATGTGAACTTGAGTCCTCAGCAAGGATTCGGCCAAGAGGCAGTCTTAAATTCCGTATCTGGGAGCACTAGCATGAGACCTACCCGGAACAGTATGGCAGATCCAGAACTGCAAAGTTACGGAGCAAGGACACAAGCTGATGGGTATTCTCATGTGAATCAAGTGGATCAGCAGCAAAATTACAGTGTTCTGTCTCAGCACCAGCACAATATCCATAATGAAGGCAGAGGAATGTTACAACCCAGGCCTCCCACTGAACCCAAGTCTGTTGCCAGACAACACACAGGGTCTAGCATGATTCAACTGAGCCGAATACTCAAGTCATCTGATTTGAGCCCCAGTCGTGGTACTGACACCTCAGAGGCAAGCCCAAAGAGGCCCAGTGGGTCAGCAGCCCACATCAGTAACACTGAAAATCCAAACTCTGCTGTTTTCTACACAGGTCAGATTCATATGTTTGAACCAACTTCTGTCAGCTTTGATTCTCCCATGTCCCCCTGTGCCAGCCAGGCTTCTGCCAGCAACACCACTGCTGCAGCCAACATGGCATCACCAGGAGTCAACCAGGTCTCCAGCAGTACGGTGGATTCTTCCACTGGTGGATCTGGTGGCACAGAGCATGCCCAGATCGACTTTGACACCATGCTAGATGATGGGGACCACTCCAGTCTAATGTCAGGCACTCTGAGTCCTGGCCTTCTGCAGAGCCTCTCACAGAATTCCTCACGTCTCACCACCCCCCGCAACTCTGTCACCCTTGCATCTGTACCGGCAGGGATTGGCAACATGGCCATCGGTGACATGAACTCTATGCTCACAGCCTTGGCTGAAGAAAGCAAGTTCCTCAACATGATAAGCTGAGAGCAATCAAACACCTCATCATCCATACAGTTTTAACCATTTCTACATCAGGAAAATATGAACTACACAAGAAAGCACTGATTTAACAATGCAAAACTGGCTATTTCATAACTTCCTCCCTCATTGTCCATAGTAATATGCGTATCTTGTAATATTTGCTTCAGAATATATGTTACATTAAAATGTAATAGTAAGTATAGCTAGGGTTAAGAACAATTTTCTGACATTATTTGTTAAAAAGCCATACATTTTACTTACAAATATATGATAGCCCAGGGTATATAAATGTATCTTCAAACAATTGCCATTCAGTATTTGCTGGTATATTAGCCCTTTACAAAGTGGTGCACTAAAAACAGTTCACATAGTAGCTTGCTGAGGACATCAAGGTTGAGCGTCTGGAAACGCTGTTTCCAGGAAATGGACATGGTATGTAGATAACAGATAATATTTTCTCATGAAGACCTTAATGTGTATATATTATACTGTATGGTACTTGCTTTAAGTTATGCTATACACTTATGATGTTTAACTAGGGCTGTCAAAGGTTTCATTCAGAAAGAACAATGGGTGAATATTTTTTAATGATTGGTTAAGTTTTTAGGGGGGGGGGGTTTCTCTGTGCTAACCATGTGGATTTCGAAAAATATTCTCACAAGACTAAGCTACATATTGCTGCACTTTTTTATGTGGTATATACAATAGGCAAAATAAGTGAAAAGACTAGTGTTGCTAACCTGGAACACACACTGTAAAAAAACAAGACTCAGAAGGACAGACATAGTAATGTATGTATTTTTTTCAGGCAAATTATAACAACTACATTCTCTTTACCTTTTCGCTTCACCACCAAACATGCATGTGCTTAAAGCACTGATATTAATGAACATAGTCCGAGCCCAACAACAAACCATGCATGTAGAAATTGATACATGCCTATTCACTGCTATTGCAGTTTATATAATATATGCACTTAATTCAGCTATCTTGAAGCATAAGGAATAAGGAGAGAAATGCTATTGTAGCAACCTGTCATTGTATTGCTGGGTTTCAGTGACACCTAGATATCAGAATAAAGGTTAATTTTGATTCTGAGAAAATTTTGCTTACACTAAATGTACTGAAACTGTATGTTTTTTTCTTAAATTTCATGTAATTAAATGTGCAAATAATATTGTTCAACCAGAAGTTTGTAACTAATTGCCATTTATAAAATTAAGAATTTGACAGCCCTAGTTTAAACATGTGGTGGTACAACATTATGATCCATAGATATTAAGTGCTTTTTGATCATGATCTGAACTATTGGGGATGGCATTGTAAAATAAGGTTTCCTTCTCTGCCCTCAGGATCAGAGGCATTAACTCTCCATGGTCCCATCTCACAAGGGTAAATGATTGAAAAGGACAAGGATATGCCTCTGTGTTAGTCTATCAGGGCACATGAACCCCTGTATTTGATGAGGAGCATTCTCTAAAAGAATATACAAGTACCTCTGTGTGTTCTCAGCAGAGATCCAATCCTAATTACCACATTCATACCACCCCCCTTTGCTGCACCCCATGCTTCCCCTGGGTTCTGGATGAACTGCGGAGAGTCCAGGAAGGGACACAGACTTTGATAATGAAATCCTGTTTTGAATAGGATTGCTGAACTAGCCCTGCAAATTTCTCAGTTTTATCATGTTTGCTGAATTTCTAAGTAGCCTTTAAAATGTTTGTGTGTATGCTACCATTCACTTTTTCTATGCTCAGTGTGTGTGGGTTTGTGTGAGTGTGTGTATATAGCTTTTGTACATTTCAAATAAACTATCTCCTTTTTTTCTGTTTAAATCCCTGTGTTGTGTCTTCTTTGATATAACATGGTCTGTGGTCCCTGGAGGCCACATGAAAGTAGGGCTAGTATGCTAGAAGTTAAATCACATTTGGCATGTTCTCAGACTGCTGTAGAGTACTGCTCTGAAGGCAATCAACAGTGTACTCACTGCAACTCTAGCAGCCATATGTATGAGTGGTGCACACACAAAAAGAGGATTCTGAGCACCAGGAATTAATATAAACAGCCTGGATTTGAATAGTGCTTAACACTGCACATATTTTTACACAATAGGCAAAAATAACTTTTAAAATGAACAGACCAAACCATATATAATAAGCATCAAGCATAACTATTTTTCATGCTCTGTGGAGGACCAACATTAGTGTCAAATCATTACTGTCTGTATGAAAACAGGTATTAGTTGCAGTTAACCTCTTTATCTGCAAATATTGCAAACTGCAATAACTGATTTTTTGGGCTACTTTGGGGCAGCAGAAATAAGTTGTAAACACAGCATTGACTTATCATAGTCTTATAAGTTGATAAGGCAAACTTGAAAACAAGCTGCTGCTTATTTACATGTCCAGGAGTTATGGAGCTCCAATATTCTCTCTCCGTTTTGTTGTCTCTACCAACTCCTGCTGGAAAATGATCCTATATGTTCACAAGCTGGTTGCAAACTGCGTCTGTCTGCTGTTGGTGCTCAGCAGTGCCCTGTCATAGGAAGGGAGTTCAACCTACTCAGAGTTAACTCAGGTTTGACAAACTCTGACCGCCTACACTGGAGTTAAACGGTACTACGAAGGTGGATAAGATGCTGGTTAGTTGAGTCCCTGTTAACCCCGTGTGAACCTTTTGGAGTTGGTGTGCGTTCGCATAAAAGGGGTGTGTTCAGCCATGCAGGCAGAGTTTTTTCGCAACGGCGCATGCTCCGTATTCCAGAGGAATGCATGTTGGTACTGTCAGGAAATTATGAATGTAAAGACACGTTAACGGCTAAATCTAATATCGTGGCGGCCGACAAAGCCAGGGAGGCTTGTTGGCATCGCATTGAGTAAATTTGTAGCCAAATTATCTTCACAGTGTTCTTGTTGTAGTTCAAATCTCTATTATGTAGGCTATTTTATGGGCTCTACTTTTAAGTGTAATGATTAATTATTAATTAATCCGTGACAGAATTTACTTTCCAAGATTAATCTACAAGTAAAAAACTTTAATATTCTCTGATATAGTCACACATTTATGAGAGAAACTTTGCAAGGCTGCAACATCACACACACACACACACACACACACGTCTGCCGTGTATTATGCATGCACAAGTTATATTAAATTTTGCAATCGGATTTAGTAGTAAGGAATTACTCCTGAGTTTAGCCCACAATCACTATCATTAGAGACTTGGATTGGGCCTATACAGAAGAAAACAGAGAGATTTTCGATTTCTATGACATTAATTTCAGGGAATTCCGATTTTTCTTCTTGTTCTAGGAGGTTTTTTATTTTCTCGGTTATTAACACGAGAAAATAAAAAACCCTGGCTCCTATTTTTGGACATGTAGGGGCCTAAAATAATCTATCTAAATATGTGAAAACACTTAGGAGAAGTCAGTTATAGACCACAGATGGGCTCCATCTACTAACTATCCCGTTAATTAATTAAGATTCCTCTCTAAAATCTGAGGCTGCAGGGCTCGCTCTCTGAACGTAATGCTGTTGTGTTCAGAACTTCATTGCAACCACAGTGGAACAAATCAGGATGAAATCTAAACATATTTTATGAAGTGGTGTGTATTAATATCCTGAGTACAGATGTGGGTAACACCTATCCACCTTTCCTAGTACGGGTTAACCGGGAAGTTACACCCGGCATCACAAAGTTACTCCTGAAGTTACCCGGATAAGCCAGTTACACCGCTTGTAGTACAGGCCACTGGTAGTGTTCAGTGGGTTTATTTTGGTTTTCTTTGGTTAAAACAGCTGCCTGCTGCAGCCGAAAATAGGAGTAAACCAAAACATTAAAGGTGCAGTCCAGACAGCTAAGCAATAAGCTGAAACTCAGTAAAGTTCTGTAATGCTAAGGGGAGCTGCACATTCAGGTGATAATTCTCTGTAGGTTCATCACAACAAGCGTTGCCTTTCACACTGTCACTCGGGAAATGGGTTTATTTGTTGGCTGGGGGAGAGTTAGATGAGGAAATAGATACCACACTTATGTCTGTACAATAAATATGAAGCTACAGCCAGGAGACCATTAGCTTAGCTGGAAACAACAGGAAACAGGGAAACATCAACCCAGGCTCTGTTCAAAGATATAAAAAAATGTGCCTTACCAGTTCCTTTAAAGCTCACTGATTAAGAGTTCAAACAAGTTGTGGTTTTACAGGGGGAAATGTGCTGGATTTCTTGGCAAGGCGCAGTCACATCATGGAGTCTGCTGCCAAGATCTAGCCCAGCATATAACCCCCAGTAAAATCACAACTTGTCAATTTTACACTTCCATTTTAGCTTCACATTTAACAGACAGGTCTGAGAGTGGTATTGATCTTGTCCTTTTAGTCTCTGCAAGAAAGCAATTAAGCACATTTTCCAATATGTATATACTGTAGCTTATAAAGGTGTATAATGACTGTCAAACCATGTGCAGCAGCTGCCGTGGTATAAGTAATTATAAACAGAGGTTTAAATTGTATTATTTACATTATGATGACAAGTCCTTGGAACAATTCTGTGGCTGGTTTTCAATGCTCTCTTTTGTATCACTATCTGATCAACTACAGCATCACAGGTGCAGTGTCACTCATCCATTTCCTTTTTGTTTAAAATACCACCAATGTATCTATACTACATGTTTTTCTACTTTTCGATTTCTTTCTAAGATTTTGCTGTTACTGTCACTAAAATTAAGAATCTTATTTTCTTGCTCGTATTTTTGTTTATTTCAGCTTTTATTGGAAGGTGCTCAAACATGTATATGCCTATATATAGGCATCTTGAACAGAGGTGGGACAATAAGACAGGTTGCAAAACAAACCCCCCCTTTTAACCTTTTTATTCAAACCACTTTAGTGGAGAATAAATGAAAGAAAGGTTGAAAAATGATTCCTCAAAGTCTGTTGTAAATACCAGTTCATGTCTTGTTTCAAATTTCATAGCTCAGTGTTAAGTCGGAAAAAACCCACCTTTGCTTTAACATCGATATAACACCATAACTGAAGAGATGTCAAATTAACCACATTATTTTTTGCACACTCCTTTCTCTTGTCTTGTCAGGTTACTTTAGATTGATCTATAATAACTGCTTCAATAACAGAGGAGCAACGTTTTGTTTTGATGTCTTTCCTCTGCATTCATCTGTGGATCCTTCTTGGTGCTCATAATGAAAAGATAATGTGTTACTTTCCATAGTTGGGCTTTTTATCCATGATTCCTCACTATGCACACTAGAGCAAAAGAAGAAGTAAAAAAAATAACTCCAGTCTGAAAACCCAGGTGAGAAAGGATACTCCATACACACAAAACGCATACAGAGCAGTTTCTAAAGTTAGATGGCATGTTGTCCAAAATTAACCGTGGCAGGCCAGCCCTGAAGAAGTGGGTCTGAGAGCAACACAAAACAGGAAAGAAGAGAGAGAAAAGGTGGTGCAAGTACAAGGAGGAGAGGAAAAATCAGGAGAGAAAGAGAGAGCTATGGAGTTGAAAAGAGCTAGTGAGAGGTGGGAAGCAGGGTGACGACTACAAGGCAATGGGATATGGGTATAAGGAAAGATGCAGAGTGCTAAAAGAAAGAGAACAAATCATTTTTTGACAGCAAATTCAGCTGGGGACTGGTTAGAAGTG